TGTGCATAGGATCGGGCAGCTTGGTCGAAAGGAGACGAAAAGGGATGTACATCTCATGGCTGGGGCATATCGACGTGGATAGTGTCATGGCTCAGTTCGCACTCCCCAAGAGGGAGGTGACAGACATGCCGGCGTGAAGGCCTGAGCCACAATGCCTGCATAGGGGGAAAAAACCTCTTCACAGGGGAGGTTATTAATCAAGAGGCTACATTATAGCTTAATACAATAGCAGGCATGTTGCAATCATGCTTTTGCATGAGAGAGATAGGCTCAGATAGAGATAGGCGCCAGTGACTTAGACCGCCGATGTGCCACCATACTAGAGCTATTGGTTCAAAATGGTGAATCACACGTTGACGCAGAAACGTTTGTTTCCAAATTTGCATCAAATTTGCCACAGTGGTGTCCGTTAGCTTCCGTACTGGTTTGTCCAGAGAGGAAACTGGTGAAAAAAACTGGAGTTGCCTGGTTTAGGGAGTGCTAAACCCATGTTCGGCTCCCGTTCTTATGCCGTTTTATGACCGTCTATGACCCTTCGAGCCCACTCCCGGATAGCTGAGCTAGATATTTTCCGACATGTTGTTGCCACATGTTCTTGTCACATGTTCTCGCCGAACGACACTTGGGGCATCCTGGAATCCCAAGAAATCACCAATATGGTAAAGGTAATCCTGAGTCATCGCATTTAGGAATTTGAGCCTTTGCCACCTGTCCAGACCGAGCATGTTGCACGTTGAGGTTGGGAAACCGCCTTCGATGTGACCAGCGTCTCATGTGAGGATTGTCCGTACCAACCGCAATGTCCGCCGACTTGTGCCTCACCTCACAACGAGAGCTGCATGTCGTAGCGACAGTCGTAACTGTGGATCTTAATGCCATGTGACCATGTGGAACGTTTCCAATCGTTTTATGGAGATCCTTGCTCTCCATCAGGTTATTGCCAAAACAACAAGGGATAGACTAGACAGACACTTTTCATTGGGTTCTTGATGATATGCATTCGTGCCAGTCGGCTTTGTAGTGAGATTTAATCCGTTTTCAAACCTCCCCTAAGGGCAAAAACTCTCGGATATGAATTTCACTAAAGTTGAGCAGGCATATTCTTAGTTTTTCCTATTGAGTCTCCGTTCCGTGTGACCACTTTCAGTTGAGTCACGAAAGACAAACGAGGGAGACCTTTGTCGCCAACTCAGCTCTTCAGGCAAAGATGCCTACACACCTTGTGTCTCAACTCAAGTGAATGTTTTGGAGCATTTGAGTACAATCGATTTGCAAGTATCAGCAGAGTGTAGTCAGGTGATACTTACACATGTTTTTGCAAGCCAGCCGCATATTCTACAGTAGATCATTTAGGAGGCCAAGAATCTGAACCAACCTGTGCGCTCAAAGTTTCCTTTCCATCATGTCTTTGTGAAGCCCATGAAGCCAAAGGCTTTCCAATGGCTCACACAAGTAGTGAAAGATATCTAGTGTTTAATTTATTGTGTTCATTGTGCTCGTAAGTAGTGACACCTCACTCAGTGTCATACATACGGATGAGCTCCTTACACGAGGTATGTGTACATTCTGGAATTGTACCTGGGATGACTCGCGGGACCTTTGCACGAGCTTTGATCCTGAAGCAGGAGATTTATCTTGTCTTCTTTGTTCCAGGCAACTTGGCCAGTTTTTTCTCAGCAATGGGCCTAATGCCCTATAATGCCTGTTAGACACTTGACTTGTGGTCGCTTGTGCAGCAACTTGTGCATGTCCATATTTCATACTTGCACACATATGTGTCTAAGGATGTTGGATCCGGAATTGAATCGTTCCCACTTCCTAAGGCAGCCACATTGTGTGGGGCTGGAAGCGATCCGTGTGGATCCACCGGAATGGTCTTTGCTGGGTGACACCGGATGGTTGGTGAATGTGACGTTCAACAGGCGAATGTGTTCGCGCGAACGCGAAAATGTTTGAACGTTCGACAATCCCTAATATGGCCGTGTATTTTAATGGGGAGATCCACAACCGATGGGTTTGGGTAAATGTCCCTTCTTCCGAGAGGTCTGTTGGAGGTCACCGTATTTTTATACACACCCACCCATATCATGGCTTGGTGCCAGCTCATCCAATGATCCAATGGACATCGCCTAGGCTTAGATCTTATCTAAGCTAGATAGTGTTACCCTATGCCCGGGCATTGCCAATTGCTGCAGGAATATCATGTTCGGCCCATTGATGGAATCTGAGCCCAACGCAATGCATTTCACATGCCAAAGCGAAGAGGAAGCAGGCGCCTCACCATTACTTCAGTTATTTTCGGTTGGTTGTTTGCTTGCTTCGTTCTGTCTATTTTGACAGTTGGTTACTTGGTTGGTGTACTGATATGAGAGTATCGGGTTATTTGTTTTCAGATGATCGCATTCCTTAAGACTGTTTGCTGGTTCCTTTTCAGTCTAGGAATGGTGCCACCGGTCTTTGTGACGTTCCCTGTCAGCATGGACATGGTGCGCATCGTGGAGGACATTCACAGTGTCTCCACATCTCCCCAGGCAATTTTTCCTCCTCGCACATGCCACTGTCCCTCGTTCTGCAGAGTTTTGTGTATTCCCTCGATCGTGCCACTCCCAGGTGGCACCCCCAAAACAGATGGCTGCACGAAAAGGCATTGAACGTTTGCAGTCCTAGCCTTGATGCAGTAATACAATTCCTACTTTCAGATGGGGATCACTCGGTGCCTACATAAAGATTATGATTTGGCTTGGTCGGCGGGGTGACTGTAGGCCCACTGGCCTAATTAGGATGGCTGGTTCATGGTTCATGTTCCTTGTTCTTGCAAGAGAGCATGCTTGGAGTGAAGCAGAGAGGAACACAGAGCCACAGTTCGCACACACATGTGACGAATGCAAGACATGCATGATCATGCATGCAATGCGTCTTCAACCTGTGTGGGTCGATGCGAGGACACTTTGAGGGTCGATGCGAAGAAGGTGCCCAATCCGTTGAGACTCCGTTCCTGGAAGCGAACGTGGGCAGTTCTGGGCCAGTGCTGGGCCCTTTTTTGGGGCCACTGGCGGTCAGATGACTATGGTGTATGTGAAATTCATTGAAATTCTATATTCTATATGTTTTTTTTTTCAGTCAGATGACTCGACGGCATCCACTATAGTTACATGTAGATACAAGATTACTCCAAAAAACGGAACTGCTGAAGCTACTGTGATGCTACTTACCGACACCGGTTCGACAGCTTTGGGTATGTGAAATATCTCTTTTTGTTTTGAAGCTGCTGGCTTCACCGTGTACGTGTAGGTGATATTGCTGTCACTCCAGTGTTTGATTGATGTTCTAACATTTCTGGCCATCAGTGGCGTAGATGTTGCTCAATTCCTCCTAATTATGCTCGATCTGTGCACTGAACTCCAAGGATTTTGCCAGCTCAACATCTATGTGCGTGCTATCTTGGATTCGTCTCCGCCTTACACACACTGCAGTTGTGTCAATTCAGGGGAATCCGGTTTCGACAGTTCGATTGGTTTACTGTCCAAACTTAACCTTTAGGTGCAAAAGCAAGACCTGCTTTTCGGTTTAGGACGTGTCTTGTTTTCTACAGTGGCAATCAAGTCTCTGATCACAAAGCCTTTTCCCGGTCAGCTTCTCGTCCCCTGCCGTCAACTTTCCTTCTTTTCGGTGTCTCAAGACGTTGCCATTTTGGATTGGCATGTTTGTGGTGCTCGTTATTGTCGTTTTCTTCCAATGGCCAGGTACTACATACCCTTCGAAGGAACTTGGCAATCTCATCGTTTCTTGCTGGGAGATATGGTTGCGCCAACCTTGCTCAGCATATGGCCAGACAATACTGCACCTTGGTGTAATTTGGAACACAACTTCTTAGGTGATGAAGTGAAACTGGTTGAGGTGGCATCTACTGCATACTTGCCTGCCTGTCAATGTACTCTCCACAAATTGCAGATGTGTTGCGTCCGTTTCTTATTCTCTTGTGTTTTGATACCTTAAGCAGGTTATGGTATAGTATATAGTACCGTATATATATATAATGAATATTATTATGTCAATTCACGGCCAGAACGTGATGCCCGAGGCCAGAGATATACCTTTAGATGTGCGCGTGGAACTGGTCTTCAGTGAGACTGTAACACCAGGTATGGCCGCGAATGGGTCGCCCAGCTGCAGCGGGTCAGCGAGTCTAACAGGGTTGAGTCTAAATGTGTTTTGTCCCCCCAACAGCTCAGCGAGTTGAACAACTGTGCTGTTTTTGCACAAGAAGAATGAACATCATGAGGCTGCAGGCTGCACGAGAATGAATTTGTGTTATATAACTCGACTCAATGCATGCTTGGGCTTGGACATATTGAATCCGCTATGTGTGCTACTTCTTGCTACCAGTAGCAAGGTGCCTTGCTAGTAGTAACAAGCGCCCTTGTTAGTAACAATGCCCTTGCTACTAGTAGCTTCTTGCTACTAGTGGTGTTGAAGCTTGACGGAAGCGGACATTTGCATGAGCTGACGACGCGGAGGCATTTCTCGCTGGTCTCCCTGGGCGGCGAGGGTCTGGGTAGCCCTGAAAACGAAGTGGTGGAGGTCTTCTCCGCCCCTTGGTTTCCTGCAAATGCCTTTTAAGGAGATTTTGGGGATTCCTTTACTTTCCATTTCATTTCCTCCAGGCTTTGGGCATGAAACATGGGAAATGCAGTTGAGAAGCATGGCTTCGCCTCCTGGTGTTCTAATAGACCACCATCCCACATATCCTTTGCGTGCCTAATCATATCTTCGACCTTGTTGATGCATGAAATGTAAGCCTGCCACGACTGAGTTGTGATGCATTTCGCCGCATGGACGACGGGACCACGCGGCGAGGCCACATCATCACGTGTGCTTCTCGGGAGCACCACATTGGTCATTGAATTAGGCGGCTTGCTGCGCCTTGACATGCACCGGGCAAGAATTCATTGCTTCAATCAAACTGTTTGTTTTACCTTGTTTTACATTATGTACCTGTTTGATCCTCTTTTTTGGAGTACTGTTATTGTTTTGCTATTCTTGTTTCAAAGTGGCAAAGCATGGTGCTTTGATCGTCCGGGATGTTTCATATCAAGCGGCAACGGCGTGGAAGAATTCATCAATTTGGACCAGACGGAACCATGTTCGGATTATCCAGAGTATGCAGAATAGTCTATAGATGACCAGGTGACACCATTTGGTGTTGAACAGTTGCACCAGGGATATGATTGGTCATGGTGGGTCGGCAAGCTGTGTGTCCCAGGGCACACTGAAAGAGACGCTGGTGCGCTGCGAATTTGCATTTGAGGCGGCACGACATTTTTTACTCTGTGGGAGTTGCCGCTGACGCAGCTTCCTGGCTTTGCTAAACTGGGAGCACAAGGAGTAATGTCCACCTCTAAATAATAAACCCCCCCTTGATCAAGTGCAGGCCCTAAATAATGTCACATCCAGAAAATCCTAGAAAATCTTGATTTGAATTGGAAAGGAAAGGAAATTAAAGGAAATGACAAGAAATGAAAGGAATTTATTATTGGTTTTTGAACAAACCGTATTATTCACGGGCCATCTATTATTCAGAGGTCAACATTATCGCATGGTCACACAACACCATGTGCTATCATCGACTTATAAACTTATATACGCAGCCAACCACAGCTATAGCCTTTTTAAACTTTGGATTAATCATACTGCCGGAGCCAGTAGACACGCACACACACACACACCCGCACCCGCTTTGAAGGGGTAGCTACGCGAGCGGATCATCATGCCCTGAAGCCCTTGCAATCGAGAAACCACAGCATCTCTAGCCAGAGCCGCATCAAATCCAGCTGGTACTGCACAAGGTATTGACTGGGTCCAACAACCAACAACTGGTACACAACGCTCCAAAGACAACCACTGGCTACCCAAAGAGGTGGAACATGGTGGAACGACCACCAAAGGGACCCGATGACGTAGGATGACGTATGCCTCATGCCTGGGTCACATCCTTAGCACTGTCGCGTCCTCCCATCTCAGCCTCAAGTGCTTTTCCTAGCCCACACAGGTCCAGTTGCACCCTCACACCTCGAAAAGCAAGCGAAGCGTTTAAAGCCGAAATGTGCAAGCCAAAGCGAAGCTTATGCGGCGTGTGGTAGATGAGCATAGATGAGCTAGATGAGTCTGAGCACAAATTGCGAGGCAGGGCAAACCAAATGGTTCTTTTCGCGCCATGCGCACTCTGTTGCTTCTGGGCACCATTCGTTTTTACGTTTGTCTCCCTTCCTGTCGATTGCTTTCGGGTGCCTTCTTGTTTGGCATATGTCGTGGGTCTCACCCGCGCTTGTGTCTCACCCGTTTCAACTGCTGAAACATGCTTGTTAAAGAACTTAAAGAATATGTTCAATCTCTTTGCAGAACATGTAGCAGTTTCCTATTTGAACAATCGTTATTTAAGGTTGAACACAACACTCCAAAAGCTTTAGCTACTGATTCAACAATATTTGCAACTCTTCAGTGTGTGTTTTTTCTTCTAGCAATGCGCAGTTTTTTGTTACGCGGATACATGGGCAGTTGTGCTTTCAGATCGAGTGTGTTTTTCTATGCACCGGGTGCCTCTTTTTAGGTGTGTTTTTTTTTGTTAAGGCTCACAGTGCCTTTTCTTATACAGATATATAGTTCTCCTTTTTATGCACGGGGGTTCTTTTCTTATGCAGACGGTTCTTTGTTTTTTATGCTAGGGGGTTTCGACCAAGGTTTCGATGGTAAAAGCACCCCATCAAACAGACTCCTTGTTCCTGGATCCCCGTCAAACAGAATCCTTCTTCAAGGGACCCCGTCAAACAGAATCCTTGGCAAAAGGCATCCGTCAAACAGAATCCTTGCTAAAAGGATCCCGTCAAACAGAGTCCTTGTTAAAGGATCCCCATCAACCAGAATCCTTGTTAAAGGGCTTCCATCAAACAGAATCCTTGTTCCTGGATTCCCGTCAAACAGAATCCTTCTTCAAGGGACCCAGAATCCTTGTTGCAACGGCCTTGTCAAACAGAATCCTTGTTAAAGGTTTTTGAGGTTAAGGGCGCCGCCATACAAGGACCCCGTAAAGCAGAATCCTTGATTCTGACGGGGCCCTTAAGAACGATTCTGTTTGACAGGGACGCTTCTTTTTGGGCTAACAGTTATGCTCAGGGGGCTTCTTTATGCGGACGGCTCTTGTCTTTATGCTGCAGGATGTCGCCCTTCCCCCGTTGGTGGCAGTGGCGCTCCTTTCCGTTCCCAAGGGAGGTTGATTTTTGATGCAGATGCCGCCTTCTCTCATGCTGCTGGAATTTTGCCCTTTCACCAGTCAGTGACCTTTTTACTGTTGGAAGGCTCTCGTTTGCGCAGGCGTTTTTTTTGGGGGCGAAAGTTTTCCGGAGATTCTTTAACAAGGATTCTGTTTGATGGGAGCCCTTTAAGAAGATGGAGATCCAAAGTGGCGCATTTTTCTATCACAGTTGCGGGCGGCGTATTTTTTGAAAAAGTGTAACTGTGGTACTTTTTGCTCCTGGTTTGTGTTTGGTGCTTGTTCTCCTAGGGCGTATCGATATATGCTTTGCACTGGTGCTAAACAACATATCCAGCACCTTAGCAAAGTTGTCCCACACGCACTTGTGCTAGGGCTTTCCTTATGTTTTCGCGCCTGTTTTTGTCAATGTTGGACGCGGCTTAAAACACGCAACTTTTGCGAATAGCGGCAACATTATCTGAAAAGTGGCGTGGAATACCGTACGTTTTTGTTTGGTTCCTTTTCGCAACGTTTTCGTCGCATTTTGGCACTGTGGGAGCATGTCTTCAACCAAAATCAGGACGATTTTGTTCCCCCTCTCCCGTGACCCCGCGCTTTACGCAGAGTTCCAAAGATCTGTGGTGGCTGGCTTGTTCTTTCGGTTTGAAGTTTACTTTTTGCTAGTGGCGTGTTTTGACACCAAAATGTGTCACAGTGGCGAGTTTCACTTTTTCTACAATTTTGGATCTGCATGGTGTTCACTACAGCCGTTTTCAAGAAAAGAACTTCGCCCCAACCCCCATCTTTCAGGCCAAGGATGGCCAAGAAAAGAAGAGCCAAAACTGCCTTTACCTAAGCCGTCAAGGTCGTCGAAGTGCAGGCTGCCACGGCAAATTGCAAATCTGTGCATCGTTGCATCATTTGTGGTGCAAATCGGAACATGAAGTTCTGTCTTGTAGGGCGCAACACAGTTCAAACTAGGTGGCGGCGTGGCTGCGGGGATGTTTTGGAGTGGTATAGCGGTTTTATGTTTGATTGGACGCCCGCCCGCGAACTTAAATTGTTTGCACCCTTTGCCCAGGTTCAAGACGAAGTCGGCAACAAATTTTCTGGGGTGCCAGTTGGCATTTACGCCTTCCGGACAGTGCCTGAGCTGAAGTTTTTGAGGTTTTGAGCGGCTTACCCAATGACATGTATGTTCGCAGAAAGTGCAAGGCAAAAGAGGTCCTGAACGTGAAGTTTCAATGTGACTGTTGCACGGTATCCCGCGATTGCTGACAGGTAGCTGCCAAGACGCACAAGGTCTTGGGAAATTCTGAAAGCCTCTCATTGGCTTTCATCTTCACCGTCACCTTTGCGTGCGTTTCATGGCAGTCAGTGTTGACCGGTGTTGACCTTGTGATCGCGCGTCATGCATTCTTGATTGGGGTTGAAGTTTCTTTACGTGTCTCTTGTTTCCGCGACATTAGAAACGAACAAGCGGTCTTGGTGCTGTAGGGCAACTCAGGCCCTAGGGTTTTTGCTCATGCTTGTGGGCATTATTGCTCTTTGGCAGCGACGTCGGCCACAGAAAATTTTGCCCACCCAGCTGGCTGAGGTACAGGACCGTGAAATGTGATTTGTCAATCTGTAGTCTGATGCGACCACAGTCTGTGAACCATGAAGAGCACTCATGTTTATGCGTTCACCGCAGCCGTTTCAGACCATTTTGCCAGACCTGACTGACCTCAAGGATCCAGTGAAAAGTGTGCCTTGCTAAGTTTAGCCTTTGGGCACTGTGATACTGAGATCACACTTTGTGAGCATAAACTATCCATTGATGTAAGAACGCTGGCAGGCAGATGCATCCAAATCTTGGAAGAGCGCCAAGATGCAGAAATCACGATGTGATCCTCATGGAGCCGAGCTTGTTTCAGCTCAGGCCCAACAGTTGGAGAGGGCTGATCACCAAGTCCGATCCTCAAGCTAATTTGGCACTGCTGAAGACAGTCCTGCACCCACAGCAATGCGCACTGGTGGGAGCACATCAGGAGCCAGACGGAGCAAGTATGAAGAATAAAAGATTGGACTATGACATTGCCAGGAGTTGCTTACAGCAGATGTGCCCAGTGAAGCTTCAAGATCATCTTGACCTCCAAAGTTCAACACTGACGAGTATGACACCATGAAGTCAGAAATTCTGGCATACCTTGAAAACAGTGAAAGCAGGCGAGAAGCCAAGACAGGGCTTGCCAGCCTAGCAATGGCTACAAAGGCGGCTCGAAAGGCGGCAAAGTAAAGGATCAAGATGCGAAACGAAAAAAGGCAAGTCGAAGGGCAAAGGCAATTCCGACTGGTCAAAGTCATTCAAATCACGGAGCAATTCATGGAATAGTTCAAGGAAAACTGATTGGAGCAAAGAACAGCTGGAGAACTCAAAGTTGTAAGAGTGAAGTCGAAGGTGGTAAAGGCAGAGATTCAAATGGCAAGGGCAAAGGTAAGAGTAAGAAGGTAGCGGCAGTTGTTCAAGGGTGTCAACCAGAGCTTGACTATCCATTGACGCTGCCACTCTCGAATTGGCTTCGCCTGTCAAGAGCACTGAGGCCGAGGTCAAGCCCACGCCAAGACCAACTGGCAAAGGGTGCGGCGTTAGCAAAGCCGGCGTCAGTGTGATGAACATTGATGAACCATGTTTGCGCGCAAGACCAAGTAGGTCAGCCGAAGAAAGGAAAAGGAGAAGAGCGGTCAGAGATCCGATGCGCATCATGTGGCTACATTCCAAGGAGGCTTTGAACACCGAAGATGCAACCGCGCACAGATCAATAGCAATGAGAGCAGGGCATTTAGACTCTAGACCAGGACAGACCTGATCTGCAAACTGCGACTCACTTGCACAAGGACTGCAAAGCCTAACCATGAAGCGCTGGAATCTGGAATATGTTGAAGCAATTGGTGCAATATGCTCCATATCGACCTCGCGTTGCGCGGCTGCGCAATTGTTTCCAAACCACAGCACTTCCAATCCATTCAATATGTAATATGTGGTTGTGTTGGAAGACGGAAGAGATCTTAGGGAGGCGTGCGGTGTTGTTTGACAACATACAAGACCAAAGAGTTGTCCTTTTCGGCAGTGGAGAAACTGAGTATTATGGCTTGGTGTTAGACGCCTGCCAGATGCCAACTGTAAAGGACTGGGAACTATACCCCAGCAAAGGGGTGAAGCAAGCAGAAGAGGCTTGGGGCGAGCAAAGCACATTGACACCCAATACCATTCGCTTCAAGACCGCGCTGGCAGGAAGGGCTTCCGCCTCAAGAAGAGTGCACTGAACGTATGCTAGCAGACCCGTCACCGAAGGCAAAAAGAAAGTGGTTTGAAGAAGATGAATTTCTACTTCTTTGAAGGACAGCATGATTTGACACAGAGCATGGATGGCTTCAGCCTGGCAGGGGCTTGAGCCTGGCTAGGGTACTTCTTTGTAAATTTGCTCCGTACAATACTGACTCGCTGCAACTTCTGGGAGATGCTCGGGACTTGGGAGGCGTGATGAGATGCTGGGCCAGTTACATGTACTACAGTCTTGTGAGCCATGTAAAGCACTCATGTTTATGTGTTCATTGCAACCGTTTCAAAACGTTTTGTCAAGCTTGACGACCTCAAGGATCCGGTGGAAAGTGTGCCAGAGTTCAACCTTTAGGCACTGTGATACTGGCTCAGTTTGTGAGCCTAAAATCTTCATTTATTCTATTCTGGCTTGAGCGAACGCGATTGAGATTGACGGCTATCTATTTTAAACCTTCCAGGAGGCAGCGCAGATAGAGGACCGCCGCGAGCTTGAATCCATGAAGGAGACTGCCTGCACACTGCTCATGGCTCGAACATGTTAGAACAGATCGTTTTGTTCGCACCTTGTGCTATTTTTGTGGTTCCGCCCCGACTCAGCACTTGCAGGAACTTCAAAATTTAAAGTCCTGGAATGGTCATGAAAGCTTTGAGACGCTATTTGAAGAACTTCGAATGCTTCAGAAGGTCACCGCTAAGGACTGGGCCTGGTGAAGATGTATGCATCCAAGCTCCTGGCCCCGCTGTAGCGTGATGCAAAACTTGCATAAGTAATTCAATACATTCTGAAAATTTGGACCGGAATTGTTTGTCAATTGGCATTGAAAAGCGAGGGAACTCTGACTTGGCCATTCCAGAGGCGATGGAAACATGCACAACGCTACAATGTAATGACGGCACCAGGACGCGAACGTCGTGGCTTACCAACCCCCTCTGGATGACCATTATTATGCACCAAAGTTGCATTTAAAACATTCAAAATTGAAAGTTGATCAGATTTGAAGTTTTGAGTCAGCATCACAAGACTTGCAGCATGAAGAGTGTGTGTGTGTGTGTGTTTGTGTGTGTGTTCATTTTGTTGAATAGGGAGTTCGCACACCGACCTAAATTTGGAAGTTCAGGCTACGATGGAACCACTCTCTGCCGGTAGTAGTACCGTGCTGGAACCAGACATGAGCATCATCAACAAGGCGTTAAGAGTCCTGGCAGGTTCAACAACTTTATACTATTGTTATATAGAGTGCATGTTTGACCTATACAAGTCTACATGCATGTTGAGAGACCGTTGATCCGCTTTTTGGCACGACATGCCCAGAAGTTGCTGCTAGGCTAGACCGATCAGTGCAAGTCGAAGAGGTGAACGAGGCAGTGATGAGTTGTGCCGCACAGCTTCAACGGGCTGTGAGATGAGGAAAGTCCCAGCAGAAATGGTTCAACGCAAATCAATACAAAGCATGTTTGAATATTTTTGATCCAAACATGGGATGGTCCATTGACTTGGGCCTAGTAGCTGAACAATTATTCTATGGTAAAGGCCGGTAAAGGTGAGTTTGTCTAGGTGGGAGCAGTGACTTGAGTCATGCCATTTGAGAGCAATCAAATCAGTACAAGAGCGATACATCAAGATGCATGAAACATACAAGCGAGCATCCGACAAATAATGCAAAGACCAAAGTAGTCGCATGGTGGGATAGGACATTTGCACGAAACCTTCGAAACCGTAACCCACAAAGCCTGCGTAAACTCATGGGGGCTGACCCATTCGAGGCCATGTCCGTTGGCTAGAATGAGTTATAAAGTTATAAGTTATAAGTATACTTATATATATATACAGACTCTTAAGTTTCCCCTAAGATCTAGGAACCAAATGAATAGTGCGCGAGCTATCCTGCGTCCTGTCGGTAGTAGCATCCTGTACCTAGAAGCTTAGTTAAGCTACTAGCTACCTCTAGCTACTACCTCTTCCCTCTTCTCTCGGCCTCCCCCCCAAAAAAAAGAATGGTCCAAGACTCATTTGACCAAGCCAGGAACTGCACCACAAGAAGCTGTGGAGGCAGTGGTGGTCCAGTCATCGACAATGCAGTCTCCGCTTCGGCTCATCCGAACGTCCAAATGCGTTCTTGGAGTCGCTTGTGTTTCCAGGCAACCATGTTGAGTTAGAGGCGCTTAAGGGTTGTAAGTCTACAAGGAACTGCGACTCAGACATTGGGTGAACATTGGATGAATCCCAATGCAACGCTTGCAGTTTCTCTCAGCAGAGAGGGTGGGCAGTTGGAAGGTGTACAGCTACTATGCTTTTCCTCCTCCATGGTCCGCGGAAGAGCTTGCGTGCCCCCCTTCCTGTCGCTTGGCGATGTTCACTGCGCGGCACATTGGCAGATGGTGTGCTTGGCGCGTTCATTAGACATCACAGACTCTGACGATCAATTTAGACTTGATTGTGTAATTTCGATATGCACAGCCAACAAAGGTGGCCCGCCTGCACTGATGGATCAGGAATCAGAACTGTGCCTTGGTCCATGTCACAAACACTTAAATCATCAGACACAATGACGTTCTTACTGATTGATGCAAACTAGAGTACAATTGAGTAAGGGCATGTTTTGTTGCCATCACTTCAACGATTCAGACGGGTCAGAATACATCAGTGGGCAGTCAAAGTCATGCAAGAAAGAGCAACCTTCATGATTTATAGTATTTAACAGTAATGGCTTGCTCACTTTCAGAATACACCCAATCGAGTGGTGACTTAGCACAGTTACCCCAAGCCAGTAAAAGAGGAAACAAAATGAGAGGAGGAGGCCAATCTCCTTTAAGTTAGGCATGATGAGTTCCCTACCGGCTTTCTTCCCTTCCAAGAAGTTGTTTCAGTTGTGTGAGGCCAACTCCTTCGAGCAAGACTGTTGAGGCCGAAAGGGGAAGAGTCGAACATGATCAATGTTCATTTTTGACTGATGCGTTTGACGCGGTTTGCTAGCTGTTTGGTCAAGTTAGCACTCTTTTTTGAGCCTGGTTCGACTGGGGCTTGGGGGTCAAATACTTCAGTGTTTTCATTCTACTGTGAACTCCAATAGACTTGAAGGGAACGGTGGACTTCTACTCTTGATACATCAGTCCTTACCATGCTGTTCCATTTGGCATGCGTCATTTGGGTAAACTGTAAACCCGATAAAGCCGGCCTGTTCCCCTAGTCAAGAGGGTGAATGTAATGCTTTACTTAGTTGGTTGCTTTTACAAAAGGATCCTTGATCCTTGTACCTTGTGATGGTGGACATGTCGCGATTCCCAGAGTGCATTCCAGGAACACAAAGACCGGGCCGCAAATCGAGCGAGAAGGAGACCAGCAACCTGGATGCACGAAGATCCAATGGTGATCCAAGGTGATGTGATCAGTCGGTACTCGGGCTTTGGATGACCACGATGATTTAGAATCAGAAGCAGCAAGGTTGCTGTAGCCTTGTGATCAATGCATTGCGGTCAGATTCCAACTTTTTTCGATGCTCCCTGGCGATCCTGGTGCCCAGCCATTAGGAGGGCATTAGGATTCATCTAATATCTCCAGCATGTTAATTTGGGCTGATCTTCACAACTGTAATGCTGCAAGCTCTGAGCTTTCAAGCCAATCCAACCATTAATATTTGGATGTACAGTAGCAATCCAGGCTGTTTGCCTTGAGATGAGTTCATTCTCATTCCAGGCCTCTGCCACTGAGAGAAGCAAGATGGTCATCAAGAGTTTGCATGACAGCTTTCAGAGCCCTACAGCTCAGCAGAGACCGCAGAGACCGCAGAGTGCTCCATCACAGCGTCCACAGGCTGTTGCATCAATCATATGAGTTGACACATGAGGTGTTGCCAAAGTCAAATCCAAGAATTCATGAGAATTCATAATTGTCAAGATGAAGAGCATTTCAACATGTTTTGAGAAATTACAGTAAATTACATGGATGTTGATTTTTGGCAGGACATGTTGATGCGAAGGAGCTTGACAGCTGCAGCTACAGTGTTCCGGGATAGCAACAGCAGACTTGCAACTACTGGTGCAGTCTACCAAAGGGCTGAAGCACAGCGCCAGAGCAGGCCCAGCAGTGCTGTGAAAGCCTCGAGGCAAGCGCCTACGCAAGCCATTTGCGACTACGCATCTGGTCAAACATTTGGCATTCTTTCAAGCGTTTTCTAGATGAAAAAGACTAGAGGTTTCAACCATTTTCAACCCCTCGCCCAAAAGTCGTGCTAGTAGGCAAAGACTGAAGAACTGCTCAAAAGGAGCTAGAATGCATCAATGCACCGAGAATTGGGTAAACCAGCTACGTATCTCCTGTGGGCCTGAGCCTGGGCAGTTGACCTGGGGAGCCTACCGAGGACTGGGTCCGACCATCAGTGGGCCGGAAAACGTCCCGCCCGGGGAGTGCAGGGGCTATTCGGAAGTCAAGAACAGAGCCGTGACCACCATGTCCAGAAAAATATGTCTTTGATGTTGTTTTGACTTTTGATGAAATTTGTCCTGCATGTGAGGGCATAACCTTTCTTGAGACGAGAAAACCATTGAGGACATGCTTCGATGTGACCTCGAACTAAGGAGCCAGCTGCCACCTGGGAAAGAACTGACTTGGAAGATGCCGAAAACGATCATTTCCAGTTCGTAGCATCTTCAGTTCGCAGCCATCAACGAAAAGAGGCCACAAGGAACTCTGGGGGCCAAGGCGGCCAAGGCGGCCAAGGGGACGGTCACTCCCAATCAGACGGACCTGGTGGTGAAGGCCACGGAGTTCAGAAGGCTTCGGACCACGCTGCAAGTGCAAGTGGTCAGTCTCGTGAAGGCGGCTTTGAGGTTTCACAAAACAGCATGTTCATGAAACACACATTCTGTGTCACACCCTGAACATAGACATGAAGCACTGCACCATGGACGAATGTACTCTTTTTGTTTCGGTTCCGACGAGAAACTTGCGTCGGGCCCTCGTAGGTAGCAGGGATCCCGAATTCCTCCCTTTCAGCATCATCCTTTGTGTGCCCCGTGTTCTTTTCTTCGTTGCTTCTTCAGGTCATTGAGCGCATCCGAGTAAGGGCGTCTCCACCGAGCTTGCTTTTCCTCCTTGCATCCTTCTCAAGGGATGGAAAGCGAACACGGACTGGTCCATAGCTTTGTCCAGTGTCTTTTTCCCTCCTTCAGGGTTCGCATCCAAAAGCGGTCCCGGGTTCTGCTCCCTTTGTTCTGCCCTTGACCGGCGCCTTGTCCTGTGCCTCGCAGCTTGTTCCCATAGCGATTTCCCAGTTTACAATTTCCATCAAGTTCCTGTTGGAGCCTGCAATCCGATATCAAAGGCACTGTGCCAGATTCGGTTCATAAGCTCCAACTTCAGCCAATAGCTAATTATGACATAGAATGACGTAGTCATACATAGAATAGAACTTAGAACATCATCAGCACATATTAATATTGTTTCATATCATTTCTATTGTGTTAGACAAAGTATTGTTGGAATGTTGAGCATCCCGTGGTAGTTGCAGCACGCTTTCACGACACTGTCTTGGCCACATAGAGCAATCTTGTCCTGGTTAATAGGATAGCGCATGATTCTGTCCCGGCTTCAGACATGGAGGTTGGACACTGTGGATTATGTTTGTGACAAACGATGCTGACTTAATTGAGTTTAGAAGAGTTTGCTAGTCATTTGCTAGCTGCTAGTCTGGAGTAAAAAGACCGGTGTCTTGCCCGGAACTTTGCAACGACAGGTGATGTCAGAGGTTCCAAGCCTCCCGCTGATGCTGTGGAGTCCGAAGAAGAAGACGAAGAAGAAGATGTCGAAGCGAATGGTGTGGAACAGGATGAGTTGCACCTTGGATTGGGATGAACAAACGCGCAGCAATTCACATTGGATCAAAGTGGTTGCAAGATGCTGCGATTATTTTCTTTTAATGCGACGAGGCGGAACTTGGGAAATGTTCCAACGAAGCCACGGCGCTTGTCGGTGCACTACAGAGGGTCCGCATTTGGCCACTCGGTCTTGATATCTTTGTGTTGTTATATACCTTCGCAATCCTTTTGCATTGTTTGAAGCTGATTGGTACCTTGTCCAGGTCATGTTTCCAGACAGAGAGGCTGACAGTAGTACCAGTACAGTACAGTGGCACCAGCGTTATACAACAACATGTTTGTTGGGGATATGCCGTATTTATCCGTATTTGACCCGTTGTAATGTAAGTGTGGCAAGTTCTGAACTCATGGCGTGTAGAATGTACCAACTGTACCAACAAGCTTGATGTTGCTGTAACACTGGATTCTCTAGAAAACAGATGAACACAGGGACTTTCTGTTTACTGATCTTTGATCAAAGCTTTGCAGACCCAGAGTCAGAGTTGGACGGGGCCGCAAGTTCATGATCAACCTTAGGTGATCTCCACAACACTGATCCAAATCTTCGCTCCAGGCATGGCTTCGTGTTGAATGGGGAATCACCGGGACATGCTTGGTTTCACATGCGTCAGACATACTTCAATCAGATCTTCAAACCTATTTGTTACGGTGGAACCCGAGGCCAGTTGCTTAATCAGGGATGAGGACAACATTGTAGCATAGCTCTTGATTCCATCAGGTCAACTCGTCCCAGCTTGAACATGTCGATTTGCCTCCCCTAGCAGTTTTGACCTTTTAAACTGTATTGAAAGAACATGAGAGGACAATAGGTTTGACAGTTGCACTGTAAGCGCAAGTACGGAGTTGTTTGGTCCAGGCAGTCCAGAATTTCAATGGTCGCTGAGCAGGCCCTTGGCGGAACAGGATTTCTCGATTTGCGTGTAGGTCTAGGTGTCTTGTGGTTCTTGATTACAAGGTCCAGCTAACTCTTCGCTGATCTCTTCGCTTCACTTTCTTGAGTTTGGCACTTGATTCAAGCACAGCACCGGACAGCTTGCCATCACTTCCCTGGATGATGTGTCTCGACATGTCTAGACCGATGCGAAGGAGTCTCAATTAGAGAAAATTCAATGTAATCAATTCATATCAATTTCATCCTCGCCATCATAGGGACTTGTCCGAATCATTCGAAGGCTCATGATGGCTATCATGCCGGCTCGTTTGTGCGTTGCAGGGGTCGGACTTGCACACCTGGGAGATGATGCTGAAGAAGGCAAGCGATGAGATGTCGCTGTAGAGTCGTTTGTAGGCAAAGGAGTTCGATCGATGACGATTCTCGAAGATTTTGCCAACCTACTAGGAGCAAGAAGCTATTAGTGACAAAGGGCATTGCTACTAGGTGCAAGGACGCTACTAGTAGCTCCTGGCCTTCCTACTAGTAACAAAGGGCATCGCTACTAGTAGCAAGAAGCTATTTGTAACTTCCTACATTGCACATCACCACACGGAATTCGCCAGAAGGCAGGTGTGCTACCCTCGTGTTGTATTCGTACTGTCTCCAGTGGCTGACAACAAACAGCGGGCCAAGGTTTCAGAGGGTCCTGGCTGAATGGTTTGGGATGAGTTCCAGTTGGATTCATATTATGATTTGTTCCGTTGGTTTGGCCATGTTTGCAATCCCAAGATGTCTTGCCACTCCAGGCAAGCCCAATATCAAAGAAGCCGCCTCCAGAGCATCCCAGTCCGCATCAAGAGGTTTGGCGAGGTGGATTTTCGTGGACTGCATGGAAGTATAATGGAAGTGGGGGATGTTTGGGTGTGTCGTTTTGCAGATATATAGTTACTTTCACAATGGTCTTTGGCAGTATGGAACCATATGGAACCTTTGGCAGCATGGTAACTTTCTTAAGGGTGGGCACTTGGCATTTTTTGCAAAGGGTTCGGGCAGTAACTGTAACTCAATTGTATGAGCTTGAAAGTCTTTTTCCAAGAAAATCAAGAAACAATCAGATAACTCCGATTATGCATGTTTTTTTTTGTTTTAATATGCATGTAAGACACGAAGGCCGGTTTTTGGACAGAGAGTCAGCTTGCTAACTCGAGGCACTCCCCACGAGCGACACGAGGGGTTGGTCAACCTTGGACCTGGCAAGCTGAGAGCATTGACGCTGTGGATGCACAGGAGCACCAGGAGCCCAAGCGGCCCAGAGATGCCAACCATGAGACTATGGGAAAGAGACCTCTTGAACGTATGTGATTCATATTGTGATTCATATCATTCACATCATACTATTCATATTCAAATTTCAGATACTTGCTAAGCAGCTCAGTGGCTAAGCAGTAGACTCCATTTTTCAGGTTCTGGGGAACCCAAGATTCAATCAGCATGTAAGCCATTGTAAGCCCAATGTAGCTACACTCCATTCGGCCTGCAGATTACTTCCAGTGTTGAACTCTATTTGTTGTACCATATTGTGTCAAGACCCACTTCAAAGGGAGCAGGTAATCATATTAATGTACAACATTAGCCAGTACAGATCAGGCACCTGAACAATCAGTTGAACCAAACCAACGCACCTAATTACTAAGAGACGTCAAGGGAAGTGTTTGTGTCGATGAAGTAGCTTTAAGGTGCCCCCTTTTCACGTCAGATCGCAGGACTCTTTGACCTCAAGAGAGCAGACCAAGTCTCGTCACTTGGCCTTTGAGGCACCGCCCAGTCGCCCAGATCTGAAATCTGTAGCAGGTATCAGGAGTAGTTGCAAGATGCTGACCAGATTCTACCGTCAGACAGCGAAGCTAGAGTGCTGGGTGTTGCTGGGTGTTGCCGCCACTGAGGTGCATGGAACAGAAAGTCCTATATTTGCAACTTGCCCAAGACATTAAAACTGAAAGGATGAGGTGGACACGGTATTGGCGTGTTGTATATAGATGTCTTTCTCCAAGGGGACTTCAAAGCCGATGAAGAGGCGGATGAGAAGCCTGGTACCAAGGCTTGGTGTCCGTATTTGTGCCTGCACACCATTGTTTAATGGCTTCATTGATAAGATTAAGATGTTTCATTTGACTCACTATGTTTCATGAGATCACCTATTGGGGTGTCCCAAGCGTCCCTTAAAGTGATTGAAGACTTCCCCTTAAGTGGCGCATATCGAGGTGGAAGCGAATGATCAGGGCAGCGTGGGCAAGCGTCATGAAGCTTTGGGCATTCGCAGCCGAAGCAGCGTCTTGAGGAGCACTTCCTTGCAGCAGGGCAGTGAGGACCGGTCGAAGACCGTGGGAAAAAAGACAATGTTTTTTCTCGAAAAAAGAACATGAATCAAGAATCAAGCTGTGTCCAGATGTATGATTCATCATGGTTCGTGTACACCTTCCATGGGCATTCTTTGGACCAAATCGTGGCTTTCATCCACCCAGCATATGCCAGCAGCTGATTTCCAACAGCTCCCTTGAGGACCAATTGGAGTGCAGATAGTTGCGAGTTTGTGACGGCGCAGCATGTACAAAGTTCTTGCACCATTCCGCAACTGCAACCTCCACCCATTTGTCTATTCGATTCAATTCATGGCTATTCCTTTATATAAGCAATGTTTGATGTTTTCCCAAATTGTTGTACAAAGGACCAGCGGTATGATGCATGTTGTAAATGTCCTACCTCCAGCCGATTCGCCAAAGGTGGATTGTGAGTTTGTTGGTTCCTCAAAAGAGCACAAAAGACCGCAAAAGACATTCGTTTTTTGAATAACTTTTTGAGACATCTCTTTTTGGGGTGCCTGACAGTGTTTTGCAAAAACACACAAAAAACAACCACGATAGATTGACGCCAGACATTCACAAACTTTGTTGGGATTGAACTTGTTGGAAGATGATTGTGACATGGCGATAGCCTTTAATTCGTCTCGACAGTCACAAATCACTGGCAGACATATTTTGCAGCCTTTGACGGTTCTTCACTGGTACTAATGATGATTGCTTGGACACTTTATGAGCACGCAGGGGATTTGTGAGAACAACGCATACCACTTATCATAGCTTTTGTGCAGGTGCTGTTATTCACGGTATGAGGTTCAAGAAGCAGAGGATTGACCCCCTATTTCATTTCGAGAACGACCTCTTTCATGGCGCCCTGGTGCTTGCTGGACGTTTTGGAGGGAGTCTTGGCTGATGACCTTTGCTTTTCTGACTGTCCAACTTCTTCGGTGCCACGATGGACCTTGAGGGGTTATATAAGCCCTCTCTTCGGAGTGGCATCGGATGGCTTCCCATGAGGCAACTTTTGGGTTATTCCCTTGGCCAATTGCATGTCTTCCTCATATCCATCTACATCTTTCTTGTGCCTCACACCTGCAAATATGCCTTTTTGTTGGGGCACAGACTGAGGCAAAGATGGGAAGGATGGCAGGACTTCCTCTCGCCGTGAGGGACGCGATGGCCGCCACGGCGTGTCCATCGCTTCGCGTCCCACCACCGTGGGCAGCAAGGCCACCAGCCGCCCGATCACCACACGCGGTGCACGGCCCAGCACCCGCCCGGCGACGGTGGAATGTCGGAAGAGCTCCAGAGTGGTGAAGCCGGAATGGGCGACTTGGCACCGGATTTGGCGCATTCTGTCTTGGCTGACTCTGAAAAACTGACTGATCCGATCCCGTTCGATTTGAGACATACACCATAAACTGCAACGCCTGACAGAGCGAACAGAATCCTAACATAGAACTGAACTAATATTTTATGCTCTTGCAAGTTTAGCAGCAGAGCAGGGTCAGTGCTCAAAGTTCAACAAGCTCACTTAGGACACATCCTTCTACACGATGCACCAGCGTCGGATTCCAACGTATGACACTTGCTTGCATTTAGGCTTTTAGGGGCAGCGAAGCTTGCAAGGAGAGTAACCTGCAATTTAAAAAGTCAATATATATATATATATACAAAAGCATTTAATTAGATATTTAGTTCTTTGTAGTTCATATTTAGTTCTTTGTAGTTCAAGTCAAGTATCAGGACGGCATGACTTTACTTGATCATCGTTTGGGTGAACAGTTGTTTCGACCAACTGTTCATTGTTTCAGGGGCAGTAGTCCAGTGGCCTTGTGCGAAAGTTAGGGAGCCGTGGGTTGATGTCTCACTTGCGCGATGTCCTTAATTTGTCACTAGACTCACATTTAACATCATTTAAATTATTGTTGTGTGTTTCGATTCTTCCAATATAAATAGCTTGCCATGCATCGATTCCCAGCTTTGAGGATGCTCTCATCGACGAGAAATGCCCCATCTTGAGCAGTCCGGAACGGCTCAGGCCGTCGAAGACGAAGACACCACCATCGATTCGACCGATTCGACGGATTTGTGGATCGGTCCGTAAAAGATCGTAAAAGCGATGAACAAGATGGTGCTCAAGCAGAAGGATGTGTCACCGATGCGATGCAGGTCGGTAGATAGAGGAAAAAGAGAAGGTGAGATGGGGTTTAGGGCTCCTTTCAGAAGGGCCCTTGACTTTTCAGGGGCTCCTACTATCCTGTCCTACCTTCTTTTGTTCCTCTCTTTTACCAGATATCAGATGCGTCGATCATGCGGACTCCAATCCTTGGTCCGTACGCGGAAATGCGTTGCGCGAGAGGCATATCATTGAGACCAGAGAGTTGCCAGATGCGTCCGCATTCAGGGGCTGTGGAGGGTGTTACATCAACACAGGTTTGAAAGAGAAAGAAAGCAGTGAGGCTCGAAAATATCAATATTAATTACAAGCATTTCGCCTTTACTGGTTTGCCGACCTGTTGACAACCTACTTGATAACTTCTGTTGGTGAACATTTGTACTTGCTTTAAAGACTGTCCAGATGCACTTGTGCTTAGGTATGTTAGAGTTTGCCCCAAGACTCAAACTGAGAACTGAGGGAAAGAATCTGTATTGCTCCAAAGAGAGCATCCAAAATCAGAGCATGAGAACCCACATTGGGAGAAGCTCATTTCTACACACACACAAGCATTACGTACGCAATATGTTTCCTTTTTTGTGCCCCTGACTCAGACAATCAAAGCACTTTTGAAGGTACTTGCACATTGTGAGAAAGCGCTTCGAGCAACATCGGAGGTTTTTCGACAAGGCATCACAACAGACACCCGGAGTACTGTACTGGTTTGACATCTCAGCAAATCCTGTCAACATCCAATGCATTGTATCATCATTTCAGGATCCAGCACAGTCTTCGACTGAAAGTCTTTTTTGCTTGACGGGAGAGATGGGGGATGACCTGCAATTCCGGGCTGTGATTTACACATACATTCATGTTTGCGGCAAATTCACAACAGGAAGGAAGACTGGGCGAGCGCTATCGACCAGTGCGGAGCTCAAGACCAGTTGAACAGATCGCATATTCAGCGCAGTTCAATTCACAAGTCGTCCTGAAAGTGGCTCTAGTTTTTTGAATTCCAGTGTGGTGTTTTCAAGCTGCTTTGTGCTGAGGAACATGTTGTCGTACAAGAGCCAGAAGAGTATCCGGAGCGCTTAGTTTGGATCCCAAACCGTCAGCGTATCTGGGTGATCCGTTGTTGTTCTCCCAGTTGTTTTTTGTGCTTCCCAAACGGCAAGTGCAAGCTTAGGACATAGGCTTTGCTTAAGACATCTAAAGACACGGGCAGCTTTTCAGTCACCTCGATGTCCAAATTCCAGGGCAATGACAGATCACACATCCACCAGACCAGGTCCCAGAATTTCCAGCCTGCCACCAGATGGTGCCTGGCTCGAGCCTGGCATGGTGCACCGTTCGCCGCGAGGTGGAACGCCTTGTGAGTGGCTTTGAGGCGGATGGCGTCGAGACGGAGGTCAAACCACCGGTCTTCAGTGCACCTCCAAGATGGGTGTTTCGTGTTTCGTGTGATGGCAGAGAACTCAGTGTGTGAAAGGATCACAAAGTGACCACAGAACATATACGAAAAGCGTGGCCTTTTGGCCTTTTGAACTTTTCCAACTCTTTTTGGGCAGTATTTAGACGTTAGCTGGTCAGCTGTGGAGTGTAGCATCATTTGCTTGAAGAGGGCCACCTTCAGGCAGAACCAGACTATTTTCCTCAAAGCTGAGAGGGCCACCAGACGCTTAAACGCCTAAACTGGATGAACTCATTTCAGTGGCTTAAAGACCTCGATGTACCATGATGTACCATTTCAGACTGGGAAGTGGTTGCTGCGAATTAGTCACAACGAAGGCCATAGAAGCGATGCACTTGTTCCTACTAGCTTCTTGTTACTACTAGTAAGGCACTTGTTACTAGAAGCGATGCACTTGTTCCTACTAGCTTCTTGTTCATGCCACTGAGACGTCTTAACTTTGTCTCAAGCTTTATCGACTGAGAACGCACTCAAGGCTTGGAAGCACTCTGCCGCGAAGCCTCCAGGCACGTTGTTGCTAGTTATTCTATGATACTCTGGTCCCTGGGAATCGTTTCACCTGTAGTAACAAGAAGCTTTTTAGTATGTCTTTTAAGCATCTTAGTAGTAAAATGTAATAACGCTAGCTACTAGGTGGAGGCCATCACTATTATGTTGGAGGCCATCGCTACTAGTAACAATAAAGCTTTCTAGTAACATCTAGTAAATGGAAGCTTCCTTGGGAATCGTTTCTTTCCTCATCCAGTGAGACGCCCGCGATTTCCTGGATCGCCTCACTTGGACTCGGACATTCCCTGGGCTGGCTGGGCTCACTTGGAATCGACCGATCTGTGCAGTCCAAACTTGCTTTTTCCGGGCAACGACACGCTTGCAATTTGGTCCAAACTTGCCAGGCAGGGGCCCAAAACCTCACAACTCATTCTTTGCAGTACGAGACCAAGAGACCAAAAGACATTGATCCGCTCTGCTCAGGCAGTTGACTCTGCCCTATGCTTTGTATGTGGTAAGTTGTGGGTTTACAGTAATGTATATAGTTATATATAATATATATACTTTTTGTTCTTTATACACACAATATTAAATATTACAATGTTATACTATGCTTTAGTAAACCCAAGCACTCCCTACATTTGCGCACAGCTACAGCTACAATAATTTACACTGTTGGTGCTGAGACCCAGCCTTAGGCACGAAAAGGACATGTTTGTTTCACTGCAACGGGGACTGGCCGGCACAATGTAGAGATGTGTTTCAATCTCTACGAGAGTGCTACATGGGTTAGTTGATTCGCTTTTGAGATGAGGTCCAGAGTGGCAGAACTCCGTATTGCACGATGAGATTTCGGTTGGCGGCTTACGACGGAAATGGCTACAGCTTGGCTCTGCTGCATTTGCTTCTTGACAAACCCACTAGATGGTCAGGAATGACCTGTTTTGCTTGCAGATGTTTCAAACTCTTATCTAGAATAACTCCATGCAGTGATTTATGCCGCATCAGCAATTGACAACCTTAATACATGTTGATACTATTTCCGCAACCTGGAGCATTTTGCCATTGGGCTGCTCGGCATCACAAAGAACATAGAATCAACAAGCCTGAATTTCAGCTTTGGCAAGGCCATAAACACGCTGATAAAATACATGAAACAAACATCTTAGAC